GTCTAGAACTAGTTCCACAAGAAACTAAAAAACTTTCCATTCAAATAAATAAACATATATTATTTATTAAGACAAGTGAATTAAATGTCATAAAAATACGATCTATATTTTTATTGACATTTAATTAAACTATCAAATAATTTTAATAACGGATATTTAAAAAAACTAACATTGCATTATTTATTTGTAAATAAAATATTAATAATATTTTATTTACAAATAAACAATGCAATGTTAGGTTTTTTAAATATCCGTTATTAAAATTATTTGATAGTTTAATTAAATGTTAATAAAAATATAGATCGTATTTTTATGACATTTAATTCACTTGTCTTAATAAATTATTTATTTTTTTATTAGAATTAGATTTTAAACTTTTATCATATTAATCATTAATAAATTAAAAACAGTTTTTGAAAATTAAATAAAGTTTTGTAACTTTTATTTATCATCAATAATTAATGATGCATAAGTTACTTTATTTGATTAAAACTTATAACTTATTTGATAAAACATTATTTGATTTTCAAAAAATTTAGACATTTTTGTTATGTTTTTGTATACTTTGTATATTTAACATTACTTATATAGCAAAAATTACAAACATATATAATATTTGCACATAATATTATTATCCTGTCAGGGTTATTAAAATAATATCCTTACCATCTGATATCTACTTAAAAAACGAATAATTCTACTCCAGCTCTCTTCCATACACCATATGATAACTATTTAAAAACGATTAATTCTACTTCAGCTCTCTTTCATACACCATATGATAACTACTTAAAAAACGATTAATTCCACCATATGATAACTACTTAAAAAACGATTAATTCCAAAACAACAAGTAACTATTAATATTATTAAGCAAAAACAAGCCATGATTTTCATAAAACGAATAATTCTATTTTAATTCCATTTTAATTTATTTCCATAATTTAATTCCAATAATTCTATTTTAATTCCATTTTAAATATTTCTCATAACATCACAGTCACGTGACTTATGCACTGTGATTCTTTTTACTCACACAAAATACCAAACACTTTTTCAAATCCTCATATTAACCAATTAAACTACAAAACTCCATATGATTATTATGAATTAGTAGTAATTTTTATATATAGATTATGAGTTTTATTTCATTTTATTTTAATTTTCATATTAGTTTTTGTTGTTATATTAATGTAACTCTAGTTAAATATTTTAGATCATCTAGTTGTAATAGGTAATTTATTCTCCAGAAACACGTCATAGGACTACTACAAATCACGTCTAGCTGACGTTACACCAACTTAAAGGACCTTTTAACTATTTTTTATACTAATAACTCTTACTATTGAGACATGCTACTACAATAGTTACACACATAAAACACAATATCTATTTACATTACACATACCTAAATGAACTCAAAACAATTCACAACTCTCATTGACCCATGCTACACTTTGAAAAAACACTGCACTTAATAGACACTCATGTCAAAAAACTACTTACTATTGTTTGCAAGTCGAACTAAACCCCGCTAAGTGTCCTCTGGTCTCAGTGTCAATTCAGGAGTCTGTGGCAATCGTCCTGACTGGATATTCTGAGAATAGTCCTTTTGGTATAACACAATGGGATACCTTTAAAAAGATACCCTGGTGTAGACCCAGAGTGGAACTTCTTTTGGGATACCAGTTTCGGATGAAAGCTGGAGGTCTTTATGCGTTCACACTGCACCATAGGGCACGAATTCATACTGTACTCGAGACGTTCATGACACTTTTATCTATAATGTATGTTTATCCTCCTAATAAAACATACCACATGGTGACTACTTATAAAACGAATAATTCTACTCCATTACCAATTCTATCTACAAATCACATTTACGTTGGACTCCAACAACAACTTAGTAGCACAACAACTAATGACTTTCCGTGACTGTTGTTTATTATTCTTATTTACTTTTTACTACACTTTACTCATATCAGTTTTTAATATTTTTCCACTCTGAGGCTCTTTGTTTTCCTCTGGACATCTGTCCTTTTGTACTTTTATCTCACTCTGCTCAACTCTTTTTAACCTATTATTCATCGCTAAGGCGTACACTGCTCGGTGCAGCTTCACTAAAATGCATTGCATTTACAAAAAGTTTAGGCTAGAGCTGTTAATTGGAAGGTTTTATTTGCGAAAAAAAATTTGTTTCGAAAGGATATTGATAACAAGAAAAAATTTTTTCGTACCAAATTAAAAAAAACATTAAAAATTGTTAATGTTCATTTTGCAAGTACTCATTTTGAATTATAGCATTTAGAAAGTTTAATTTCAAAATAAAACTTTGTTAATAAATACGAAATTAGAGATTTTGAATGTAGCATTTGCAAAACGATCGCTGTTCTTGACGACGCACAGTGGTACAAAACCTCAAAAATTTGACCATAGTTCAAAATTTTTCAAAACATAAATTTAATTATTATTATTTTTTTAATGAATTATACTGCTTATATTATCTAAAAATATATTGGTTTGTTATTTATATTTATTGACAGGACCGCTACACAGATTCAAAAGACGTCATTTTTGTAATAAACTTTCCTTAAAAAAGTGCAGAAGTTTTAATTTCAATTTTTTTTTTTTTTTTGATTATTCATAAAATATTTTATTTTGTCAATATGTTTAAGAAATTTTAACTTTTACGTCAAAAAGATTTTACTAACTTAAAGTAAAAAAAAAACTTTTAAAAAATATTATAAAAAATGCAAAAAAAAAATGCAGCTTTTTGTAGTTTTGAATTTGCTGTTCGTTTAAATGACCTCTTTCTCAAGCTTATCTAAATTAAACTTTATTAAGTTCTGGTTATGGTAATACCTCATAAAAAATTCAGCTGCATATATTCGGGTATTAAGATAAATTTTTAGCTACTAACATTGTTTTTACAAATTTACATTGTTTTGCTCTAATATTCTCAATGTTTATAATTCGTATAAAATAAATATAAATGTAAAAAATTTAAAAGCTTTTATAAATACCAATAATTAAGTAATGTTGCTAACCTAGCAACATGACTTAATTATTGGTACTTAAAAAAACTTTTTTGTTTTAAATGATTTTATGCGTTCTTATTTTTATCGGGAGTTTATTGAAAAAAGGTATTTTTTCATGTATTTTATTTATACCACCCGAGGGGTAGAAAATTTTTTACATTATTTTCCTATGCTTCAAATGGTATATGACACTCTTAATAAAATTCAGTTCAAGTTATTAAGATAAATTGTTTTTATAACAATTTTAAAGCCAAGAACTTTTGATGCATTTTGCGATTGTTAACAACAATTTTTTGAGTATTATTGGAATCGCCTTATTAAGTTCCATAGAAACAAATTTTCTATTTAATCAGTTGTACAAAAAAATATATTATGAATAAGATGATATGGTGCAAAGACAAAAAAAATATAAATTCATATAAAAATAATGTTTATCAAAATATTAATATATTTAAAATTACTATGTTAGTTTATTGATATTAATTATAATAGTTTTCTGGCAAAGCAACATCAATATTTTTTAGGCCTTGTATTCCACTAAAAAAAGCTCTTTCTTCTTTGTCTAATATTGATTATGTACTTATTTTTAAGTTTTGCTAAATCTGATGATTGCTTGAGAAATTCTGAGTTGTGTTTAAAATAAATCGAGAGTTGTATTTATTTTGATATTATTAATTTTGATTGTATACACACACACACACACACACACACACACACACACACACACACACACACACACACACACATATATATATATATATATATATATATATATATATATATATATATATATATATATATATATATATATATATATATATATATATATATATATATATATATATATATATATATATATATATATATATATATATATATATATATATATATATATATATATATATATATATATATATATATATATATATATATATATATATATATACATATATTTATACATAACTTTGGAATTTAAGATCCGTCCAAATTATGTTTGGATCATTAAATGACATTGTCAAGAGAATTATATATATTGCACGGTTAGAAGAAAATAAAGAAATGGATGCGGTAGATAACCGCTGTATTAGTTAAAGGTTTATATTAAATAAGCAACGTAAGATCTATAAGCGAAAAAATGCGTGATCAAAAAAGCTAAAATCACGATTATAAAATGTCTCAAAACAATAGAGTTATTCCAAAAATGGTTGGTATTTATAATACTATATATATATACATATATATATATATATATATATATATATATATATATATATATATATATATATATATATATATATATATATATATATATATATATATATATATATATATATATATATATATACATATATATATATATATATATATATATATATATATATATATATATATATATATATATATATATATATATATATATATATATATATATTTTGTAACAGTTTAATAAATGTTTTCGAATCTTTACCGTAAGTAAATGTTTCAAAATGTTCTATTTGCAAGGTTCTCGTGCGAAAGTCTTCTTTTAAAATGAATCTTTTGCATTATTATGGAATTAAAATTCGCTATTATGGAATTAAATATATTTTTTTTGTATACAGAAGATGATTTTCCGCTTATGTAAATTCCGCAAATGCACTTTGGAATACAGTAGAAAAATATTTAAAATTTTCAAAAATCATGAATTCCGGCGAACAAATCTAGTTTAGGCTAATCTTTTTTTGCTTAATAAATTAAGAAACTATTACTTGGCCTTAATTATTTGTCTTTAATTGTTACAATAAACCAAGTCTAGTCACATAAATATTTTATATTTAGCTCAACTGTATTTAAAATGATGAAACAATAAGTTTATTTAAATTCATTTAAAAGTTTACTAATGCTTACTAATTACTAAGCTTAAAATTCGGTTAATGAAGCTTTAAAATAATAATTATTTACATTGTTTTTGTATAAGCGTTTTTTTTTTAAACTGATGGTTAGCTATAGCCTTCAATCTTGCAAATAAAATTCGATTTGTGAGTTTAAACCAAAGATTTTTTAACAAGGTAAATAGTTTACGTAGTCAAGGTAAATAGTTTACGTAGTCATTAGTATCTTAGTTTTATGAATTCAACTTAATTTTTGAAAAATTAATATAACATAAGTCAATAAAAATATTTTTTTTAAATCCAAATCATGGTTTAGTTTTGTTTTAGCACGCATAGTTTTTGGATTATTTACATTTTTGTGTATAATGAAAATGTACGTAATTATATGGAAATGAAGTGTTTAATAAATCAAATTTTATGCAAACCATTTATTTAGGAAAGTGACGTTGACATTAAGGTGGGCTGAGAAACAACAAAAATTTAAAATTGCTTTACAATACCTCTAAATACATTTTATATAATATAATAACTCTGGATAAAAATTCAGAATTTTTTTGCTGGCCAACATACGTGTCAAACTAAGGACGTGGTGGGAATCGTACGTTTGTTGACCCACCCTAATATGCATCATACACTATTTTAGTATAACGCAATAACCAGCAAACAACTAATTTACATGAAAGTGAGCCTTTAATAAAATTGTAAAATAGGAAACTACACATTACAAGCTATTAAAGGCATTGAGAGTACGATTTCCGTTTAAACTTTTGGTTTGGAATTTTAAGATACAACATTAAACAATGGTCAGCCATCATGCATTTATTCCAAAATCTTTGTTAACAAACTTATATAGCCCTAATATCTCAGTAAAGGCGTTCCCCATTGGTCGTCACTCAATGCACAAAGTTTTTTAAGAAAGAAGTCTAGATTACATCAATAAGTTTTTCAATTCAATAATTATATGCATGAGACTTAGTATCCTCCAGAAAGCGTACGCATGTCTATTTGAAAGCCAACCAAACCTTTGATTTCAGTGGACTGAGGACCCTTTTAAAATCAGTATCAAATAAAAGATCTCACATTTGTGATTCGAAAGAAATGCCTTTAATATTGCAGTACTCGCTTTTAGAAATTTTGTAAAAAGGTATTGTAACCCTTGCGAATCAACTTTACACATTGCTTTAACAAAATTATTTAAGCACCCATAACGCAGTGGCAAGAGTTGCGGCTCAGAATCACGAGGCCCGTGGTTCAATACCGGTTTTGGCCAGATAAGCATTGGTAAGGAAGAAGGCGCAAACATTCTAATTATAAATACTCTTACGTTGTGATCTGTGATATAACCGTTAGGACTTCTTGCAGCTCCTTAAATACCACGTAATAAAAAATATTCTTAATTTAAGGAAGTTTAACGTAGAGAGGTGTTAGGAAGTTATTTTGCGAATCTACTAAACAGACAAACTAGACACTGAACAATGTAATAAACAATTAATAACATTAATAAGGCATAACAAATAATAAACAATTCAGAATATTAAAATTTTTTTACAATTTAAATTATTAATAAGTTCACTACTTCTGGAGGCAAAGTTTTGCCTTGATAACTCCTGTGTTTTAAAAATGAAATGCTTGAGATTTTTGGATCCGATCTAATCAAAAGGTAGTGCACCTAATATTTCATTGTGTTAATTCTTGATATTTTTGTTGTATGATGCAACCTTACATTTCGGATTTGCTTGTTTAGACTTTCCTGAGCTTCCTCAGAGTATTGGGCAATAGGCAAATCAAATTGCTTTGAATTGGAGCAACCATGTATCAGAATTTTGTGAAGACTGGGTGGCATTATATACAAACCATTTTTATTAACTATAATTTTAGCTGTATCAGTACAATAAACTTCAAATTGATTACTATCAATATGGTAACCAGAAGATAATGTAATAAAGACAATGTGCATTCTCTTTATAATTTCCATATCAACCCCTGTTATTTCAGAGAAAATCGCAGAGTTCTCAAATGCTCTTCTTGAAGTATTTTCATCATTGCTATTACCAAAGCCTACTTTGGGCTGGTCTACAATAAGACAACTTTTCTCTGAACTTTGATTTAATAAAATTATTTTTTAAATTTACAGTAAGCTACTCTTCTTTAGTTCTAGCTTGAAACTTCTGGATTTCCATTTTATAACCTAAATGTAAGATGAATTCAAAAGATCTTATCCAACAGTGCAAATTTGAAATACCTAGTTTAAGGGCTTTCTCATTAACAGGCTTTTTTTTTTAACTAAATCTACATCATTCATCTCTTTGGGCTTACAACCACACACATTACAAGACTTAGTTGACTTGTGTCAATCAATGAATTTATTACTTTTCCATCAAACACGGTCATATCAATTTTAAAAGTAACCTTAATAGTTATTACTGTACCAGCAATATTCAAATCTGTTAAAAAGGGTTTTAACTGATTCATTTGAGTTTGAAGATCAGTTTCTTTTTTTTGCACAACTGATGTCTCTTTTTTATATTGCAGGTGAAGAGGTCTACAAAAATGGCAGCTAGAACTTTTAAAATTTTTCTAAAAGTCAATGTTTTCAACTTTAAACAGAAGTGGTACAATTGCTGTGCTAAACAGGCTATCTTCTTGCTTTGATTAAAATTATTATTTTAAGGATATTAAATTTTTGTTTGTAAATACTTTGACTTGAAGCTCCATCAAACCCAATTTTTACATATAAAATTTCATTCATCTCAACTTTACAGCTTTCCTTCAAATCAATCATATCTATAATGCTAGTAACTGTATGATTCAGCATATTTTGTAAAGAGCATTTTGCTGACATTTCAGTAAACTGAATACCTTCTGGATAACATTCCGGTTTTTCTTTCCCAAGCTTATGAAGACTAAGATACATTTTTACAGTGTGAGAAAGGGCTGAAATTCTCAACATTTAGTATTGTAAATCACTTAAGTCAGTTTGCATTTTCAGAGCAAGAGCCTCCTCTAGTTTCCTAGTTGTTTGAGTCAAGGAATCAACACTTCTTCTCATCTAAGCTACATCAATACTTCTTCTCATCTGAGCTACATCAATACTTCTTCTCATCTGAGCTACATAAATACATTTAGAAGTTCTTTTCAAAATAAAAGCTGAATCGTTTTCATCTGCTGCTTTAGCACTCTTTGATGCAGCAAGAGATAGAGCTACATGGTGTTCATTAGCTAAGTCTGCAGTCTTTGCACTTTTACTTCTTTCACAAAGATCTCCCCATTTCTTAACTGGTGTTCCTGGTCTAGGATGAATAGACACACTATAATCAATGAGATTTTTTCCAAGCCAATTATTTTCGTACTTTAAAAACTATTCATAGTTTCTACAATATTTTTTAAGCTTATTTTTCACTTTCGAAAGAAAAATCTGTATAATTCTATTTAGTTCACCAGGTTTATCTTTAAGAATTATTTCGGATTTTTTGATAAATTTGATAAGTAATTCAGGAAGTGCTTCGTTATTTGCTTCAGATTCGCGAATTTTTAAAAATAGATCCAACCTTTTCATTTTACTTTTAAAGCTAAATTTTTCTTTACCAAATTATATTATGATAAGACTTAAAAATACTAGATTGTATATTATTACACAAACAATAATAGTAAAGTTTTGTATGGAGGTGGAAAACAAGGTTCCTTACAAGATAACCATAACTTAAATTTTTAGAATTTTGTGGTGACAAATTTAACTTTTTACACTTATATCCATTAAAAATTACACAATAATAATATCTGTGAAATTATTTAAAGTTGATTTCAGACCAAAAAGTAGCTTACTTTAACATTTTAAGTCTAAAAACGATAAAACTTTCACTTTTTTTCCAGGACATTTAGCCATTTTTAGGTTAATCTGGGTCACTGTGCGCCGGCTCTAGCCTAATGAGCGAAATTGGTAAGGAAGGAGGTGTGAACTTCTTCGCTCCGTAATAAGATCGTAAAGACATTTATATATATATATATATATATATATATATATATATATATATATATATATATATATATATATATATATATATATATATATATATATATATATAAACATATAGGGTTATAAAACTTTCTCTTATTGATAAGAAATGGTGCAAATATGTTATAAAAAGCACTTTTTTACTTTGCCTAGAAAAAAACCAATCCCAGAACATAGATTTAAATATTTCTATACGAGGCGGTATACCAAAGCCAGTATGTAATTCACCTGCCGTGAACCTTGTTTGGTCAAGTTAATTACTAAATGATTTATATATGAAATGAATGGCTAATTTACTTACTTTCATTCTGTCTTATAAATTTTGTTTATGTTAAAATATCTATCACATATATTTTTGTTTTACGACCTAAAAGTTTGCCCTAACTCAAACATATTTTTACGCACACTCATTAGCACTGAGATATTTAATATTTTTTCTAGAAAATATCATATAAGAAGAGAAAAGAAGATGTTAAAAAAAGATGGAGAAAAAACTTGACAGCATACCAACAGAGTGTAACAAAAAGAAAAATTTTAGTAACAGTTGCTGATCCACTTGATGGCTTAACTAGAATGCCTAAAAAAAAGACAATTATTGGGAGGTTTCATTTTCTTGCTCAAAATGACAAATCCAAAAATGGAAGATTTAAAATGGTAGCCAAAGAATTGAAAAAATTGTGGGAAAAGTTAGATTTTCCATTCATAACAGTAAAATCAATAATAAGGATGATTGAAGCATTAATTAACAAATATGATAAACTTTTAATGTACAATAATAAATGTACTCAAGTTAAATTTGCAAAAGTGTCTGATATCACCAAAACTGATAGCATCTGTTTTGGTGATATCAAGATAAACAATTTTATTAAATGCAGATGATATCACATGGAGATGTTGGTTATGCAACATCAGTACAAGTAAAAGTGCACCCATCAAATGTTAGAACCAGAAGTTCCACACGTAGTAATCTTCCTTTATTGAGAAAAAATGTTGCATCCAATCTATCAACATCTTCAAAAACTTCTGGCAATGATACTAACAACTAAGATTATACTGCTGAGATTCCTGCTAAAGCAAGAAAAACTTAACCATATTTCACTACAAACGCTGCACTTCAACTAGTAAAACAGGCTAATCTAAGTTCCTCTAAGTCAATAAAAGTTTG